ACACCAGCCCCCAAATAGGATCTGACCTGTCCCGGGAAGGGGTGAGCTAGAGCACTGGAGTGAAGTAACAATGCAGAAACAGTGCTAGTCCCAAGGAGACTGACACTTCCCTTTCTCCTCCCATCCTCTGTGCAGCCACATCTTAGATCAATGGAAAAATCGCCACTGGAGCTAGAGTGATGTCTCAGTGGTTAAGAGCACTGGATAGTGCTCCAGTAGAATCTGGGTTTGGTTTCCAATACCCATATCAGGCAGCTGATAAGCGTCTGTAACTCCAGCTCCAAGGTGTCTGATACCCCTTTCTGTATTCCACAGGTGCAATGTACAGTGACATACATGCATACACATAAATAAATATTTTTGACATAGTCACTGCACTATATGAATTGTGCCCTGTATAATCCACCATCCCTAAAAAGATATATAAGTACTTGCCTTGTGGGGGACATGGATCATCTTCAAATGACAGCAGGTGTCAGTTTGCTCAGGCTATGGTGACAAAATATTTCACATGGAGCAATTTATTCAACACATTGATTTTCATACACTTGATGTTTAAATAAATCTTATCTAGGATGAGCAAAACAAGACCTAAGTTATGTATGTCATTTTGGGATACACCTTAGCCTTCTGACTAGGCAAATCATAAAGAGGCAAACAGTTCCAGTCCAAAGTGGATGGATGTGTCTAATAAACGCCTTCTTACTAGCAATATCTACAAACTACATAAGGCCGTAAGATCCAAAAGACTAGGCTATACTTTATAAATTTGATTTTATTTTTATTTATATACCCATACGTACACTGGTTCCAATGGAGGCACCCAGAAGAAGGTGTTGGATCCCCTGTGCTGGAAGGCATGGATGGTGATGAGCTGCCTTGTGTGGGTGTTGGGAACTAAGCTCTGGTTCTCTTGAAGGGTGATGTCCCACTTTGCTTTCTATTGGTGTGATAAAACACTGACCAAAACCAGCTGGTGGAGGAAAGGGTTTACTGGGCCTAGAGATTACAATCCATTATGAAGTGAAGCCTACACAGGAACCTGGAAGTAGAAACTAAAGCAGAGACCACGGAGAAATGTGTTTTCTAACTTAATTTGTTCTCTTATACAACTTTCCAAGAAGTGGCATAAGTCATAATGGGCTGGACCTTCTCATATCAACCATTACTCAAGAAAACACCCCAAAAGGCTCAACCACACAGGGCAATCTGATCAAGACTTCTCAGTTGAGGTCCTCTCTCCTCAGGTGACTCTAGCTTGTGTTAGGCTGACAAAAGCTAGTCGGCATAATATATGACTCTAAGGAGACCACTACAGTGACCTACTTCCTCATCTAAGACTTTTCTACTTTCTACTGCATCGCAATATTGCCATCTTATTGGGTGACAATAAAGTCACCAATCACGATCTGTCTCTGGTAATATCTTCATAGGCACACCTAGAGTTTCTTCACTAACCTCCCATGCAATAAAGATGACAGTCAAGATTAACCATCACTGTAATACGACGGGCTGGCTTGTTGGGGTATCTGTCCCTGCCCGGTACCCCACAACCGGCAAGTCCCAGAGAATCAAACACATCAAACACACAGAGATCTCTGTAAATTATAAAGCTGATTGGCCCATTAGGTCAGGCTTCTTATTAGCTCTTATAACTTATGTTACCCCATTATCCTTATCTACATTAGCCACATGGGCTCAGTACCTTTCTCAGTGTGACAGCTTACATGTTGCCTCTTCAGGGGTCTGCACAGGAATGGCGAGAGAGCTTCTGCTTCCAGAAAACTCCCAGTCTCTTTGCTCCACCCCTACTTCCTGTCTGGCTTTCCCACCTATACTGCCTGCCTGGCCAATCAACGTTTTATTAAAATATGATTGACAGAATACAGACAATTCTCCCACACCACATCACCCTGATGGAACAGGGGGAACTGATTGGGGGAAAGAATGATCAGGAGAATTAGGCGAGTATGTGTAAAAGGACAGACAACATGATTGCTATTCTTGATTGTCAACGTGACTTCACCTGGAGTTAACTAAAACACTAGTGCCTGAATACACCTATGAGGGATATTTTTTTCATGATTGAATTATTTGAAGTATGAAGACCCACATTTTTAAAATTTTATTTTCATTTAAATAATATTCTTCATTTATTTTACATACCAGCCACAGTTTTCCCTCCCTTTTCTCCTCCCAGTGACTCTCCCCTCCACTTCCCATCTACCCTTTTCCTTTCCACTCATTCATCTCCATTGAAAAGGCAACAGGCCTCCCATGGGCTTGGACAAAGCATGATACACCAAATTTAGGTGGAACCAAGCTCTTCCCTTTGCATCACGGCTGGGCAAGGTAATCCAGTATGCGGAACAGGTTCCCAAAAGCCAGCTAAGCACCAGAGATATGTTCTGATCTCACTACTAGGAGCCTTACAAAGACACCAAGCACTATACAACTGTCACATACATGCAGAAGGCCTAGCTGGGTCTCATGTAGGCTCCCTAACTGTTGGTACAGAGTCCATGAGCTCCCATAAACTCAGGTCAGCTGCCTCTATGGGTTCCCATCATGACCCCCCTGGCTTGTTCAATCCCTCCTCCCTTTCTTCAGTAAGATGCCTAGAGCTCATCCCAGTGCTTGGCTGTGGATCTCTGCCTCTGCTTCCATCAGTTACTGGATAGAGTATCTCTGATGACAATTATGGGAGTCACCAATCTGATTACATAGGTCAGTTTAGGCACCGTCTCCACTATTGCTAAGAGTCTTACTTGGGATTATCCTGTGAATTCCTAGGGATTTCCCTGTTACCAGGTAGGTATCTCCCTAACCCCAAAATGTCCCCATCAAGATGTCTCTTTTGCTACTCTCCCACTCTATCCCACCTCCAACCTACCTCCTGCATCCTGCCCCCACCTCCTGCTCCCTCAAGTTGCCATCCTTCCATCTGCCTCCCCAATCCTCAGTTTACCCAAGAGATTTCTTCTATTTCCCCTTTCCCAGGGAAATCCATGCACCCCTCTTTGGGCCCTCCTTGTTGTCTAGCATCTCTGAGACTGTAGATTGTAGGTTGGCCATCCTGTGCTTTACTCTTAATACCCACCTATGAGTGAGTGCACACCATGTTTGTCTTTCTGGGTCTGGGTTACCTCACTCAGAATGAGTTTTTTTCTCATTCCATTCATTTGCCTGTAAATTTTACGAGGTCATTTTTTCTTACAGCTGAGTAATACTCCATTGTATAAATGTACCACCTTTTCTTTATCCATTCTTTGGTTGGGGGACATCTAGGCTGTTTCCAGTATCTGGCTAATACAAATACCACTGCTATGAACATAGTTGAGCAAGTGTCCTTGGGGTATGATTGAGCATCTGTTGGGTATATGCCCAAGATTAGTATAGCTGGGTTTTGAGGTAGATTGATTCCCAATTGATTTCCAAGTTAGCTGTACAGGTTTTCACTCCCACCAGAAGTGAAAGAGTGTTCCCCTTACTCCACATCCTCTCCAACATAAGCTGTCATCAGTGTGTTTGATCTTAGCCTTTCTGACGGGTGTAAGATGATATCTCAGAGTTGTTTTGATTTACATTTCCCTGATGACTAAGAATGTTGAGCAATTCCTTAAATGTCTTTCGGCCATTTGAGATTCTTCTGTTGAGAATTCTCTGTTTAGGCCCATACCCCATTTTAATTGGATTATCTGTTATTTTGATGATCATGACACTATTTCTATGGAGACATGAATTATCTCCTCACCCCAGATGAGAACCAGTGACAGGCCTGAGTCTGGATACCCAGGAGAACAAATGAGTCAGACTGTTCCATCACAAAAGCCCACCCCAGGATGACTGACAGCTCACCAAAGTGCGTAACTTGCAGGTTGGAGAGTGTCAGTTCACCTGGTCCCTGTTTCTTCTAATGACTCAATGGGTCTGGTCCTAGACTAGGATGCCCAATTTGTCTGATTGTTCTTAACAGTCCTCACTGCTTATCTATGTCTGGGGTGGGGAATCTAAAGAATCTACTCAGTTTTAGAGACTTTCTGAAGCCTTTAAGCTGTTTATTTCCTTGGCTTAACCCACTTCTTTACAGAGTGGAATGTTTCATCTCTCTTTAGAATACTCTATGTCTTAATGAGCTCCCCTAGGAAGTGGAGTATTTTATCTGCTACACTCATATGGGGGAATGGTAGAGAGACACTAGGGACATTTGGAGGCAGGTAGTGGTGAGTAGATATGATCAGTATACATTGTATAAATGTACGCTTTTTAAAATAATAAATAAAACATTATTTTCAAGGAATGCAGGCAGGAACAGACAATGGCCACTTCCTCCAGGACACCTATAGTGGCTTCCTTCTACCAGGAATAAGTGACCACTCCGCCGTATGTTTCTGCCATTAATGCTTACCCTAGCATCCCTGGAATTTGCCAGTGTCAGCCCCCGATACAGAAAATCTCACCAATACATGAATTGCACGTGGGACCTTCAGATCTCTGACTGAAGAGGAAGGGGAAATGGGGAGCTGTGCTGAAGTCTGTGGGTGCTTCTGGAGGTCAGTGTCAGCAGCTCAGCACGGAGAATGGACGGGTGGGTTGAGACCAGTCTATGTTTACCTAACTAAGGAAGAGGTAAAGAGAAACAAGCGTGCTGAGGAATACCCAGTTACACTTGAACATCAGACAAACCAAAACTTTATTTTTAACATGAGTAGGTCCATCAGGTGTTTGAGATATTTTTATACCAAGAAATAGAATGATTATCCTTTTTTGTACCTCAGTCAGCCAGGCATTCTGAATTTTATGTGGTGAGACCAGCTCCTTCCAGAAGCTCTCATTCCTCTGTACCCACCCGGACCCCCTTCAAGAGGCACTCACAAAACTTTGACTTCTGCTTTCTTACTGACCTGACACGTAAAGGGAAAGCCCCAACCTGTATCCATCCACAGCCAGGTCTCCAGGCTAGATACAGCCCTGTCCTTCCATCCCAGCCACCAGAAATGTCTGAGGAGGACCAGCTTCAAATACCCAAGCTCCAAATATCCCACATAACATACAATAGGCAAGTGGATACGGAGAGAGTGCATGAGAAAGGGAAAGACCAATGGCCGCAGAACTTGCCAACAGCCGTTCGTTTCGCACCAGTTCCCAGTGTTCAGCTTCCGCCTACATTTCCTCTTCACTCTCACTCCAGCGGTCACAGCTGGGGAAGGAAGCCACCTTGTGCAAGCCTAAGATCCTCCTAAGACCACGATGTCACTGCTGCTGTTTCTGTTGTCCTTGCTGTTGGAAGGTGAGTGGTCCCAAGGCCGGAGGGACCCAAGTTGGGGCTGGGGCTGGGGCTGGGGCTGGAGCTACAGGTCAAGCCTGTCTTCCTCAGGGTCTCAAGGTCAGGACAGAAACTACTTCCTCCAAGTGAAGAGGATTGTGAAGGTCCAGGAGGGTCTGTGTGTTGTCGTGCCCTGCTCTTTCCTCTCTCCTGAGAACCGCTGGCGTGACCCCACCCCAGCGTATGGCTACTGGTTCAAAGGCATCAGAATATCACCACCGAAGTTTGTAGTGGCCACAAATGACAAAGACAAAATGATAGAACCAGAAACCCAGGGGAGATTCCAGCTCGTGGGGGACGTCCGGAAAAAGAACTGCTCCTTGATGATCCAAGACGTGCGGTGGGGGGACTCCGCAGGCTACTCCTTCCGGGTGGAGCGCGGAGTGGAGAAATTCAGTTTTCAGAATGGGTTCTTTCTGCAAGTGGAAGGTAAGAGTTGTGGGCCTAGCAGGGGCCCCTTGTCTCTCACTGGGGGAGGAACAGTGGGAGATAAACCATGGTGCAAAGAAAGCCACTTCTAGGGAGGGGCAGCTGAAGCCACAGGATTGGCACCTTCTCCCTTAGTCCTGACTCACAAGCCAGATGTCTTCATTCCTGAGATCCTGGAGCCTGGGCAGCCAGTCACAGCTGTCTGCTTGTTTCACTGGGCCTTCGAGCAATGCCCAGTTCCTTCTTTCTCCTGGATGGGGGCTGCCATCCCCTCCCAAGAAACCAGACCACACACCTCCCCTTACTCGGTGCTCAGCTTTACTCCAGGACTTCAGCACCAGGATACCGAGCTCACATGTCAAGTGCACTTGCCCAGAAAGAACCTGCAGAGGACCGTCCGACTAAGCATGGCCTGTGAGTATGTGGTGCTTTGGGCCGTTCGCAGCCCTGGTGGTGGGAGGTAGAGGATCCCCCAACTCCATGCTCGGGAGAGATCATGGAGGAACTGGGGATGTGACTCGGTTGGTACAGTGCTTGCCTAGCATGCACAAGCGTGCACAGGGTCCCGTGTCCCATCCCCAGCACCACATAAATGAGAGGTGATGGAACACATCTGTACTCCAGCACTAGAGGGCCAGGAGTTTCAGGTCGTCATCCTCCGCTACATAGCACATACACATACTAGAAAATACAAGATCTTGTCTCAAAGGAGGGAGAGGGCTTCTGGGAAATGGCTCAGCTGACAAGTGGTTTGACACACAAGTGTGTGGGATGAATTTTGGGCTCTCAGAACCTGCATAAAAACTGGTCAGGCATGGTAGCCCACTGGTAACCTCATTGCTTTGAGTCAGAGAGACAAGTGAGCTCCAAGGCAAGTTGAGTAACTAAATTGGCTACCCAACTGGCAACCTGAGTTCAATGAAAGACATTGCCTCAGTAAACAATGTGAATACTGATGGTTCAGAAAGGTGCCTTACATCAACACCTGGCTTCCTCTTACATGTATGTGCACACATGTGCACCTATATACACATGCATGTTCAGCACATATACATACATTCAAAAGAAGTAGAGGAAGGCACCCCATCCTGGTTGGTTGCTTTTCTCCATTTCTGGTTGGTCACTTGCCTTCCCTGGGGTGGTGGCGTTTTCTTTCCTTGGGGGACTTCTCATGAGGAATAAAACATTCCCCCTCTGAAGAAGACTCATAATGTTCTCCCAGATGCCCCCAGAGATCTTGCTATCAGCATTTTCCGTGACAATGTGTCAGGTACGAGGGTCTCCTGGGGTGGTGTAAGGTCGGTCCAATCCTCTTTCGGAAATGAAAAGTCTGGAGTGGGGGGAGGAGAGCGGGGACAGGCCAAACTCTTCCTGCTGCCCCCCCATGTCCTACTCCCTTACCCTTCCCTTATCTTTACCTTTCTGTACCTCTTTATCTCTGTCTCTGTGTCTATCTCTGTCCATCTCTGTCTTTGTGTCTTTCTTTCTATGTCTGTATCCATCTCTGTGTCCATCCTTCCTCTGTCTCTATATTTCTGTGTCTCTCTATTTCTGTTTGTTTCTGTCTTCATCCTTCTTTATCTCTTTCACTGTCTCTATTTCCTCCTCTCTCTGTGTGTCTCTTTGGCCTCAGAATTGCATGGAAATACCTCGCACCTGGAAGCCCAGCAAGGCCAGTCCCTGCGCCTCCTCTGTGCTGCCGACAGCCATCCTCCTGCCACACTGAGCTGGAGCCTGGAGGACCGAATCCTCTCTCGGTCCAGCCCTGTGGGCTCCAGAACCCTGGGCTTGGAGCTTCCCCGGGTGAAAGTTGGGGACTCTGGACACTACACCTGCCAAGCAGAGAACAGGCAGGGTTCCCAGCAACACACCCTGGAGATCTCTGTGCTGTGTGAGTGTGATCCACCACAGGCGCCCAGCTCTGAGGAGGGAAAGGAAGGGGAAGAGGGTTGGGGAGCAGGAGGCTTACAGCAGTCAGACCACCAGGCAGCTTAGGTTGGGGACCCAGTGAGTGACTCACCCACCCTCAGCTTCCACTTCTGGGAGGGATGCTATACCCAGAGAGAAGGCCCTGGCCTGCCTGGAGCCAGTTCCCTGTCTTCATTGCAGATCCCCCAGAGGACCTGAGAGTGACTGCTTCCCAAGCAAACAGGACAGGTAGAAAGGACGGGCAGAGGAAGCTGGACATCTGGGTGGGGATGGGAGGCGTCCCAGTTGATGGGCCTCATGGTGACTCTGCCTCCTGTCCTCCCCAGTATTGGAAATCCTCAGGAACGGCACCTCCCTCCCTGTCCTGGAGGGCCAAAGTCTCTGTCTAGTCTGTGTCACCCATAGCAACCCCCCAGCCAGTCTGAACTGGACCGGGGTGGCACAGACTCTGATCCCGGCCCAGTCTTCAGAGCCCGGGATGCTGGAGCTGCCTCTGGTCCAGAAGGAACATGAAGGAGAATTCACCTGTGCTGCACAGAACCCACTGGGTGCTCAGCGCATCTCTCTGAGCCTCTCTGTGCACTGTGAGTGGGGAAAGGGACACCTGGGACCTGTGATGGGGGCCCCTGCTGACCCTTCTCTTCCTTCTCCACAGCCCCCCCACAGATGCCCAGATCATCCTGCTCCTGGGAAGCTGAGGGTCTCCACTGCAGCTGCTCCTCCAGAGCCTGGCCCACCCCCTCCCTGCGCTGGCGACTGGGGGAGGGGCTGCTGGAGGGGAACAGCAGCAATGCCTCCTTCCAGGTCACCTCCAGCTCCACAGGACCATGGGCCAACAGCTCCCTGAGCCTCCATGGGATGCTCTGGCCCAGCCTCTGGCTCAGCTGTGAGGCCTGGAACATCCATGGGGCTCAGAGTGCCTCTGTTCTGCTCCTGCCTGGTAAGGACCCTTTGGGACTAAGCTTATCTAAGGAGGGCCCGAGTGGGCTCTGTGGTTGGAGCGAAGTCTAAGAGGGTATCGACCCATGAGCTAAGTGTGGGTGGAGAGGAACGGAAGTTAAGGCATGACACCCAGCCCAGGATGCAGTCATGTTTTTTAGAAGGAAATAGGAAAGAATCTTGGCCATGGTGTGCAGCAGGAACTGGAGTTCAAAACGCCCACCCTTGTGTGTAAGATCACATACATGGTGTGTGCTCATTCTTCTGTAGGTAAGGAGAGTTCCACAGCCTTCTCCAAGGGAGCACTCTTGGGCTTTGGCATTACAGCTCTCATTGCCCTCTGCCTCATTATGATCATGTGAGTTGGAAGGAGCTGTTGGGGGTGGGGACTGGGATCTGGGCTTTCTGAGAGAGGGCAGATGGAACAGTGGATGTAGAGGTCATTTCCTCAGCGTGAAGACCCTACAGAAGAAAGGAACGCAAGAGGAAGCCTCCAGACCCAAGATCTCACGGGGCAGCACAATCCTGGATTACATCAATGTGGTCCCCAAGACCAGGCCCCTGGTGAGTTGCCAGTTGTGCTTTCTACGTCAACATTCTCTGCTACTTCTGCACACATCCCTTCCCTTCCCTTCCTACACCTTTGCCTTAGAGACATGAAGCATCCAAGATTAGAGCCAAACCCTGGTTTCCTCTGAGCTTTCACATCTTCCTCTGCTTCCAAGTCTGAGGAACAGAACGTGGACTCTCTCCATAGATGGCTTACATTTCCTCCATTATTGTCGCCACCAAGGGCTAACTAGCTATGTTTAACCACTAATGTGTAGCTACTGTGCTGGGGATAGAACACAGAGACATGTGCATGCCTGGCGCTCTCACCTTTCACTAGGGGATTCTAGGCAGGTACTCTACCGCTGAGCAACATTTCCAGCACCTCTTTGGTGGATGCCAGATGAGTGCTGTACCACTGAATGACATCCTCAGCCCTACCCAACAATTATTAATGTCCTTGTGATTTGGTACATCCTACTGATTAAATACAGAACTCAAAGTAGGCTGCCTAGGCTCCCATTCCCCCTGTGCCCTCAATTTTTTTAACCATCATCTTAGGCAGTCACTGTATTTCTCTGTGCCTCAACTGTAATATTGGGATAATAGTGGTAGTGGTGCCTATCTCCTGGGAATGAATGAATGTGTGTGTGTGTGTGTGTGTGTGTGTGTGTGTGTGTGTGCGTGTACACCCGTCTGTATACACATGTACGTATATATATTGCATCTGTAAAATATTCAGAGGAGTTTGTGACCCTTATTGGGTTTTTAGTAAACACTAGGTACCACTATGAGGTCACAGCTACCTGGTGATGCTTAAATGAACATCCATGTCTCCAGCTTCTTCCCTGCATTCCAGACCCTTACCCAACCTGCCGGACAGCATCTACACTCAGACATCAGTGGGAATGTCTTACCTGAGCCCGTGCAAAATCAACTCCTGACTATTTTGCGCTTCATGCTCTCCTTTTGCTTCTCTCTCTCAGCAGGTATTAGCAGCTTTTCTCCAGCAAGCTAAAGCCTTTGCATAATCTTTCACTCCTGTTCCCCAGAACGGATCCTAGTCTTCGCTCAACTCCAGCTGCACACCATAGCTTTCTTCACGACCTCCTCTGATTCTGTTCTTGTCCTTCCTGCACCTGGCATCCTGTAGAAACCACACCGGCATACCTTTCCTCTGGAATGCTACGCAGACAGAAAAAGGAACAAACTCTTGATGCACAAGACACATCACACAAATGAAAAGTCTCTGAATGTTACATACCACATGATTCCATTTATCTCTCATTGGCAAAGCTACAAAATTACAGAGATAAAAGGCTGGAAACATAGCTCGGCTGGCAGAGTGCTTTCCTAGCATGCACACATCCCCAGCCCAGCATGAAAGTGCGCACAGTGGTGCCTGGCAAACACTAGTGGAGACAGGAGGGTCGAAAGTGCAAAGTCATCTTGGCTGTATATAAAATTCAGAGTTGACCTGAACTACACGACACAGATCATGGGTGAACAAATGCTTGTGGTTAGGGGGAAAGCATTCCCTGAGTGCAGGACAGGGTCCTGGATCTTGGCTGTGGTGGTCACGTGTGTCTACCTGCACTAGCAGGAGGAGCAGTCTGGACCTGGACTTATTCACACAGGGAGCAGCCTTGAGGCCAGGCAGATTCCTGCACCCCTGAGCATACTCAGATAAAGAACATACTCCTGAGTAAGTTCAGTTCAGGAAAAAACCTCTGAGAATGAACGCCCAGTTCAGGAGCACAACCCTGGGCATGCCCAGCTAAGGCTACAGTCCTGAACATTAAGAAGCACACCCCTGCTCAGTTTAAGGTCATAATTCAGGAAGAAAACCTGGCAGAAATGCCTCTGGGCACGCTCAGACTTGCCTATAAAAGCTGACAGGAGCACTTTGAAGGGGGGCTAGTATAGGATTCTCCCCTAGAAGGCAGGTAACGACGCACACTGTGTAGAAATCGGCGTCCTTCTGTGAATACTGCATCCCTGGAAAACTGGGGTAAGGGCACAGGGTTCTCTGTGGTACTTCTGTGACTGTGTACTTTTCAGGAAGGCTCTCATGTAGCCCACGCTGGCCTCAAATTTCCTCCGTAGTCAGGGATTTTCCTGAATAGCCAAGGACAACTTCAAACTTCTGATCCTCCTGCCTCCACTCTCAGAGTGCGGTCAGAGCAAGCATGTGCTACCGTGCTTGATTTAGGTGGTGTCAGGGTGGACTCCAGGGCTCTGTGCATACTAGGCAAACAGTCCACCCTGAGCTACATCATTGGCTCCACTGTTGACACTTTTGCAACTCTTTGATCATTCCAAAATGGAAAGTTGAAAAAAAAATCACAAATCAAAACACCTCAATTCCTATTAAACCCACCATCGATCACGTCTTTGGATTTCCAAAGTCATCGCCAGGGACTTTGAGGTAGAGTGCTTTGCCTTGTCTTACCCACAGAGGCCATATTGCTTTTTTAATTTTTCAAATTTTAATATTTATTTGGTATTCTTTATCAGCATTATTATCGGGGAATGTGCATGCACGCTGCGATGCACATGTGTAGGTCAGAGGCTGACTTTCAGGAGTCAGCTCTGTCTTTAATTTCAGGTTCCAGAGATGGAACTCTAGTCTTCCAGCTTGCACCCCAAGCACGTTCCTCACCACGGCATCCTTTCATCTCCCACCTTGTTCTTCCTTAAGCGGAGACCCCAGACCCTGTTCAAATACTTGACTTTGTTGCCTTCCTTCAGAGAGTTTATCACAGAAACCGCACGGTTCCTGGCTTCATTTAATACTCTTTGCTTGATAATCACCCTATCAAAGATGTCACTTATTATTGGCATTTGTATCTATCAGACGTGTCTATTTATAGGTACAATGTGCCACAGTACTCAGACAGTGAGGTGATCAAATTGGGGCAATTAGCATATGCTCTCTACCCCAGGATTATTTCATCTATAGCAATGACTCTTTCTTTAATTAGTTTGTTTAAGATTTTTTTTTTTTTTGAGACAGGGTCTCCCTGTGTAGTTCTGACTGGCCTCAAGCTCTTAGAGATCCGAATGCCTGGGTCACCTAAGTGCTGGGATTAAAGGCGTGTGCTACCACACTCAACTTTATGCTTTATTTTTACTCCTAATTGTGGTGTGTGTGTCTGTGTGTCTGAGTGGTGTGGTGTGTGTGCAGTATGTGTGTGGTGTGTGTGTGGTGTGGTGTGGTGTGGTGTGTGTGTGGTATGTGGTGTGTATGTGTGCCTGTGATGTGTGCTGTGTGTGTATGTGGGGTGTGTGCGGTGCGTGTGTAGTACGTGTGTGGTGTGTGTTATGGTGTGTGTGTGGTGTGTGTGTTATGGTGTGTAGTGTGTGTGGTGTGTGTGGTGTGTGTGTGTTATGGTGTGTAATGTGTGTGTAGAGTGTGTGGTGTGTGTGTAGTGTTGTGGTATGTATGTGGTGTGTGTGTGGTGTGTATGTGGTGTGTCTGTGGTGTGGTATGTGGATGTATGTGTGCATGCATGTGTTTGTGCGCGCATGTGCACACACACATATGCGTGGGAAGTTCTTGTAGGGGCTAGAAGAGGGCTCAGAGTTCCTGAAGTTACAGGTGACTAGGATCTGCCAGGAGAAGGTGCTGATGAGCAGACTTGGGTCTTCTGGAAGTCCAGCAGGGGCTCTGAACTGCTGACCTGTCTCTCCAGCCCCACCTCGGGCTCTCTCTTCTTCAGAGCGCTCAGCGTTTGTGTGCTGCTTGCTCCTTGCTAGAGCCCCAGTTCTCAAGTCAGTGCCTGGGGCATGCTAGGTGCACATGCCTGGCGCATGCTAGGTGCACAATGCCTGGCGCATGCTAGGTGCACAGTGCCTGGCGCATGCTAGGTTCACACTGCGACCTGAGTGGTGAGTGAAAGGTGTTTGCTGTCCCCTCAGGCTCAGCATTGGAAGGCCAAACCCGAGACCCCTCCAAGGATCCCGCCCTTGGACGCTCACTCCCCTGAGTCAAAGAAGAGACAGAAGCAGCCACCGTTCACTTCTCCTGCCTGCCCGGACCCCAAGCCATCCTCTGAGGCCCCAGTGTCTGAGAATAACCCAGAAGAACTCCATTATGCTGCTCTCAACTTCTCCCGCATGAGACTGTGGGAGACCCAGAATCCCCAAGACACCGATTATGCCGAAGTCAGGTTCCACTGAGATTGTTCTGGACTTGAGAACTGAGATCTCCTACCCCCAAAGGAATGCAGTTTCTCTTCTTAAAACAATCCTCAGGAGGTACATGTGCTTGCCAGCAAGCCTGGATCCACATGGTGGAAGGAACCTTCCACAAGCTGTCCTCTGACGGCCCGTGTGCCTGCCAGTGAGTCTGAAGGTCAGAGGACAGCTTGGAGGAGTCAGCTCTGGTGAATCCTGAGGATTAAACCTAGGCTTCTGGGCCTGGTAGCAGGTATCCTAACCTGCTAAGCCATCTAAAAGACCCAGAAAAGAGATTTAATAGAAGAGGCCTAGATCAGTCATTAGCAAAATAAAGCTTTCTTGTGTTTGCACATCTTGAAGGTAGTGGGCGCTAATGGGCTGGTTGGAGAGGGACTCTGGCCATCCTTCAGATTCAAGCTAGGTCTCCTGACTCCCATTGTGGTATTCGTCCCCACTTACACCCATTAACACAGCACTGCTGGTCCCTGAGAGTTCTGGGTAACACTGCCTCTCCCTCAAGTCCTAAGTCATTGTTGCGGAAGCCATGACCTTGACACAGGTATTTTGAAATAACTGACCTCTACCCAAGTTGTTGCCTTAGCAACAAGGGGCCTATATGATCCAAGGCCAAAGGAGCATTCAAGGGTGGCTTCAGAGTGGAACTGACTGTAATAGGATCGCTCATCCTTTATGCTGTCTGTGGACACTCACCCTGCTTTCCCTGGTGTCCACCCCCCAACCTGCCACACTCACCCACTCCAGGCTCTATCTGGGTCCCCCTCCACTCCCATTTTATCTGAATGTTTGTATGCGTGTGGGTGCATGTGTGTGAATACATTTGTATATGTGTGTGTTCACACGGAATGTGATGTCAGGGATAATATCCATCACTCTTTTCCCTTATGCAACAGGTCAGATGGAGTGGTTGCGATGAGAATGTTTTCCGTTGGTTCCTATGTTTGAATGCTTGGTTCCAAGTTGGTGAAACGTCTTGGGAAGCATTAGGCAGTGTGGTCTAACAACCCCATACAAAGCACATTTACAGAAATAGGGGTGACCTGTCAGCACTCAGTCAGAACAGCTAGCATCCCCAGACAAGAAACCTGAGAAGTATCAACAACCAAAGAATTTTAGAGAAAAATATTTGAGAAAAAAAAATGGGATTTCCAGAAATGATCCCATCTGTCCCATGTATGACTGACAAAATGACAGTAAAGTCACCAAGACAACATCAATATTACGAGAGAGGAGGGCGTGCAGGTGGTGTGGTGCCAGCCACGTTCTACTGCGTCTGGAGACCTGTGGGACAGGAGTGGCAGGGCTCCCAGCGCTAGAGCAGTTGACTCTGAAAGTGCTTGATAGCAAGTAAATAGTTACTCCATCCTCATTAGCCGTGTTCTACAAAGTCTTAGGGCCACATGACTGCTAATGGGACCAGTGATTCTTGACCTAAACAGCCACAACTGTGGCCTTTCTTGGTTGAAGTTGCTTTTTTGGCTCTCTACAGGATGAGTATCCAAAACTGGGCTCTCCTTGAAGCAAAAATAGGAGGACATGGTTGACCACAGGGAAATTTTTTTGAGTTTTCTGTCTTGGGGGGCATAAATAAAACTTTATTCACTTATTTTATGGATATCAGTATTTTGTCTGCATATCCTAAGTGTGCTTTGTGCATGCCTGGTGCTGGGGTAATCAGACGAGAACACTGGATCCCTGCCACGTGGGTGCTGGAAACTAAACCTGCTGCCCTCTGCATGTGCGGCCCGTGCTCTCAGCCACTGTGCCGTCTCTCCGGCCCCTTACTAGGGATATTTAGGCTTAAGCACTAGGGTTAAGAGTCCCGGAAGGAAAGATAAAATACTTAAGAGTATGGGTGTGGGGTTCACTAAGAGGGAGTTGTCAATTCTTTTGTCTCTTGACAAGAGAATAAGGTCCTTTCACTAGGCATGGTGGCGCACATCTTTAATCCAGCACTTGGGAGGCAGAGGCTGGCGGATCTCTGTGAGTTTGAAACCAGTCTGGAATACCTAGTGAGTTCCAGGGTCAGGGTCCCTGCCTCAAAACAACAACAACAAAAGACTAGAACTCCGCATTTGTCCGGTCCTACAACTGTAGGCTGACACATCGCTTCTTAGTGTGTGGGAGGACAGAGCTTAGTTGGGGAGTGCTTGCTAGGCAAGCATGAAGCCCTTGGTCCAATCACTAGCATCACACAAACTGGGCATGATGGTACACTCTTGTAAGGAGGACCGGGAGTTTAAGGTCATCTTCTGTTACACAGCAAGTTTGAGGCCAGCCTAGGCTACCCGAGACTCTGTTACATGGAGCACAGGGCACAGTGACTTATGCCTTTAATCCAAGCACTTGGGAGGCTATCTCTGTGAGTTTGAGCCCAGACCGTTTTACATTGCGAGTTCCAGGCCCATCAGGATCACCAGAGTGAGAACCTGTCTCAAGACAAAACAAAAATTTTCAATCCACAAAATAAATGAATGAATACATACAGCACAGCCTAGTCTTACATCCTGACTTCAGATTCAGTCCAAACCCCATTGCCTTTCTTCCCACCGAACGCAGGTTCACCCTGGTACCTTGCCAGGTGTTGAACCTTCATGCACTTTGCAGAACAATGAGAAATAACTTTTTCTCATTTATAAGTTGCACAGCTTGTGACACTCTCTTATGGCTGCAAAATCAATTTCTGAAGCAGGAGAAGGTGACGGTGGTGGTCCCATTTCTGTCCCACTCAGAAGAGGGTGGAAGAGAAAAATGAGTTCTTGGAGAACAGTGTTGAAATGGCTCCAGTGAGGGCTCCCACACTGCAGCGACGGCCTCCGCCTCTAGAGGGAAGCACAGCGTATGTGGCTGTGCCTCAACAGCCAGTAAGCAGCATTCTTCCACACCCCTGCCATCACTCCCCAGAACCTAGCTTACCATCCCACTCCCCCAACATGCCCTGACACAAAATCTTAGTGGCAACTTCGACTTATCTTTATCATTTCCTATATCAAGTGTTCTGGAACATTCTCCATCCTGAATGCCAGAGGGAGATAGCTGCTTCCTTTACCATCCCAGCTACTGCTGATCATTCTGTCATCTGAGTTGCTCAAAAGTGTGTGTGTGTGTGTGTGTGTGTGTGTGTGTGTGTGTGTGTGTGTATGCTTCAAAACACAGATACCACACTGGAGAGATAGCTCTGTTGGTATCCTGAGTTTGATCTCCAGAACTCAGGTTAAGAGACAAACAAATAAAAGTCCTTCAAGATGGTTAGTGGGTAAAGATGCATCCTGCCAAACCCGGTGACCTGAGTTCAATCCCCAGGACCCACACGGTGGACGGAGAAACAAGTCCCACAAGCTGGCCTCTGATGTTCACTCTCTATTACAAATGCACATTCTCATTCTCTCTCTCTCTCTCTCTCTCTCTCTCTCTCTCTCTCTCTCTCACACACACACACACACACACACACACGCACAAACCCATACATATATGAACAAATAAATAAATGACATTTAGAAGAGTTTTCAAGCCAGGCATGATGCAATCACAGTGCCGGGGAGACTGGCACGCGTGGATCCCTAGGGGGCTGATGGCAGCATGCCCACTTGGTCAGTGAAAAACCTGTCTCAAAAAAAGTGTATGGTGCTTGAAGAACGGCACCCAAGGCCGTTCTTTTACCCACACACATAAGAGCATGACATCCAAGCACAAAGATAAGAAATGTAGGCAGCCATGTCCAGAACAAGCAGCAAGCAACATGCTGAGGCCTCCCTACACTGCTGCTTCCTAACAAGGTAAGAACATAAAAGCAGGAAGAGATGTAACTTGGTCGAGGGGCCACAGCTCTGCAGAGCACTGAGAGGTGAGGCTTCACTTCGGCTTGCAGGCTGGAGGTCACACCCATGACCAACAAGCCCCCAGGCTTCCTTCTCTGCTGATTTCTAAACCACTGTGACCCTCACAGTGACTTTTAGATGAATTTTCTCAACCTGTCTTCTGAGCAATTGTATTGTCTCTTCTTGCAGGGACAGACCAGGAAGTCCCTGGAGTTTGCAGCAAACCCCAGAGCTTACTCACCCAGACTAGGAACTGGGTGCAACACACTTCCTGGGTGCAAGGAGGTACTATTTACCCAGAGCCAAAGCCGAGGGAAGGAAGCTGTCCTTAAAAGGGCAGGTATACAGCCACCAAGTAGAGCTAAGCCTGAAGGGTGCCTATAAAAGAATAAGGTAAGAGAAATCCCATCACTCTGGAAATGGGCAGATGAAAGGGCTCAGAGAGCCTCTGCAGCTTGCTCAAGGTCATACACTAGTTAAGGAGCGGAACAAGGAACAGAAGAGGGGCTGGAGATTTGCTCTCTGGGAGAGGGACTGTCTAACTTGGTCAGGTCCTGTATTCAGCCCCTAACACTGGGAAGACAAACAAACAAACAAAAAGCTTGCGTCATCTTTGATTTGGGGGGTACCTACTTCAGCAGTCCAACAGGCTGCCCTGCTTCTCCAACACCCCTCAACTTGGCCTTCAGCTTCTGAATTCGCTATACAACAAAACCCACTCTCCAACCACAGACAAGTTCTCTTCTCAAAGTATAAGTCAAATCATGTCACACATGAGCTTAAAATCATGCAAAGTGTTTATTTATTATTAGGATATAATTAGGATAATTATGACCTCAGAAGCCCATGCAGATTTGGAACTTTGCTGGGTTTATGCCAGCACTCCTGTCTCTGCCTGCCTCACCAGGGCTAGGATTACACGTATAAACCCAAGCCCTCCCATTCTTACAAGGAAGCAAGGCTGAGGGATACAGCTCTGTGTAGAGGGCCTGCCTTGGCATGCCAGAGGCCCTGGGTCTCATCCCACAGTGCTTTAAAAATACAGGGAAGAAAGGAGGGAAGAAGGAAGGAGGGAATGGAGGAGAGAAGGTGGGAGTGGAGGAGAGGAGGAGGGAGTGGAAGAGAGAAGGGGGGAGTGGAGGAGAGGAGGAGGGAGTGGAAGAGAGAAGGGGGAGTGGTGGAGAGGAGGAGGGAGTGGAGGAGAGGAGGAGGGAGTGGAGGAGAGGAGGAGGGAGTGGAGGAGAGAAGGGGGGAGTGGAGGAGAGGAGGAGGGAGTGGAGGAGAGGAGGAGGGAGTGGAGGAGAGAAGGGAGGAGTGGAGGAGAGAAGGAGGGAAGGAAAAGAGAAAGAACGATTTTCTGTGATGTCTGCGCTGGGAAGCAAGAGGCAGAGGATCCAGCATTCAAGGTCTTTCTGAGGACAGAGGAAGCTATGGGAGACTCTGAAAAGAGACAGGTGAGGGAGGGGAGAGGGAAGGAGAGGCCTTGGGGTGACAGCAGAAGCATGTGAGGTTTGTCTGGAACCAGAGAAATGACTCCACAGTTTAGAGCACTTGGTGTTCTTGCAGAGGACCAGGGTTCAAGTCCCCGCACTCACATGGTGTCCCATAACCGCCTGTAGCTCCAGTTCCAGAGGGATCTGACGCCATCTTCTGACTGTCTCAGCTGAGGACTGCATGCATGTGATGCAGACGTATATATAGGCAGAACACTCATGCTCATAAATAATTTTTTTAAAAAAAAAAGATGTCTTAGGTTTTGTTTCTAGCATTACAAAAAATAATCTGGAAAAAAAAAAGGGAAATCAAAGGTTCAAAAATCTTAGACTGGAGATGTAGCTAGTCGGTCCACCACTGAGCGCCCAAAACTGTGGGTTCAGCCTCAGCAATACATAAAAGAGATGTGGGGGCATGAGTCTGTAATTCCATCACTTGGGAGGTGGAGGCAGGAGGACCAGAAATCCAACATCATCTTCCGCTACATAGTGAGTGTGGGACCACTGTTCGCTACATGAAGCCTTGCAAAAAAATTAAATGATTTAATTAAATCCAAAAAAAAAAAATCCAGCCTTTTTCTTCATCATTCCTGTTCTTGCTGTGACCAGAGTCCTACTCTGTTTTGTCTACCAGAGCAGAAACCTCCAGGTCTTCTGGAACATTCCTCTGACACCCTTCCCTAAGCAACTATTCCAAACACCCTCGGTGCCCTGATTTACTGTCTGCAGAGACTCTGCGAGTTGTCGTGGAATCCCCTGTGTACCCGAGGATGATCCGGAGCTCCCGCACCTCCTGCCTCCACCACCATCGCCAACTTCCAACAAATACTCCTGAAATCAATGACCAGAAGGGCGATGGCTTCTTAACAAACCGCAGCGGCGGTGAGTAGGTAATCAGCGTCTCAGCTGAGTGACCGAGAGACGACTCAATAGGTTAGAAACGCTTGCTGCCTTACCGCGGGCCTGAGTTCAGTCTTCCCAGCCGACAACACGCGCACACATGGTTAAAAGTAAGAAGAAATCTCTAATGGCAGTGTGAAGGCTGGCGTTATCTTGATGGCTTGTTTTTATATTTAAAGTTTAGAAACCTCAAGCCGGGCAGTGGTGGCGCACGCCTTTAATCCCAGCACTTGGGAGGCAGAGGCAGGAGGATCTCTGTGAGTTGGAGGCCAGCCTGCTCTACAAGAGCTAGTTCCAGGACAGGCTCCAAAACTACAGAGAAACCCTGTCTCGAAAAACCAAAAAAAAAAAAAAAAAAAAAAAGTTTAAACCTCCATGCTCAAGAGGACTGTAAAGCGCAACTGAATTCCAAACATCAAGGGCCGTTAAGGATTGCTTTAAAATCGCCTAGTCTTGTACAATTTTAACAAAACAATTGTTAATGCATGAAACTAGTCACAAGGTTAACTGCTGCTTCTGCTTCAGTAGACAAAAGCTTGCTTTGCTCCAGATAACCTTCCGCTTACCTGTAAACAGAATGTAACTATGTGTTCCTTGACTTTATAAATCCCTGACTGACATGGCTGGACTGAATCCACGGCACCAATATCTGAATAAAAGCCTCTATCTAGCCTCTTTGTTTAAAATGTACTAATGTTCAGACTGGTGAATCTCTGAACGACCCTTTGACCCACATAGCAGCTAGGACGGTGTTTACAGCTCTGCACATGCACCATCTAGAGCTGTCACAAGAGCCAGAATCAATGATATTAGCTTCATTTTAAAATGTGGAACTGAAGCAAAGAGACTAGGAAACTAAAGGTCACAGAGCAAGTTACAGTTAACATGTAGTAGAATCTGCCACCCCGCCCCCAGGATGCCTAAATTTTTTTAAATTTATTTATTAAAAATTTCCACTTCCTCCATTTCCCTCCCACTCTCCCCACTTCCTCTCCTCCTCCCTCTCCAGTCCTACAAGCAGTCAGGGTTCCCTGCCCTGTGGGAAGTCCAAGGTCCTCCCCGCTCCATCCAGGTCTAGGAAGGTGAGCACAGGGTGCCTAAATTTACCATCGCCCAGAGTCCTCAATCTAAAAGTCACAACAAAGAACAACCTAAGGCAACTGCAGAAATATAGAGGAGACGCATGCATCTAGGCCTAGATCCCCGGCTGTGTGGGAGGAGACGGGGTCTCAACCCCTGATTCTAAGTGAGGATGCAGAAGATCCGAGGGAAGAGGGCTGGAGCCTGGACCACTGAGTCTGAGGGAGGACGCTGAGTCTGAGGGAGGACGTCCGTGGTCTAGAACCATAGCTATGTTCAAGCAACGAGAGCTGGGGTTGGAGAGCTGGGTACCGGCCTGGTCCCCTGGATCTAAATGAGTTAGAGCTGGCTTCTGTCTAGGTGGGAGGATATCTGGGCTGTCCAATGGCAGCTCCTTGCATCCTGCTAGCCCCGCCCCAGAGCGCCACACTTTTATAGGCCTTGACTGGCTTCTTCTTTTGCTCCTCCCTTTCCTGTTAAACCCCCGAAAGATCTAGAAAAGACTTCAGACGCGACTGAAAAGATGGAAGAGCTAAAAGATGAGGCTTCGTGCAGCGGGTGAGTGAGATAAAACCCTTTCGGGGAAGAGCGTCAGGAAGAAGGGGGAGCAGAGTATATTAGAGCCAGGAGCGCCTTGAACCGAAAATACCATCTAAAAACCAAATAGACAGACTCGGGGATCGTGACCTAGGAACTCTCTGGAGGACTTTGGTGATTGACTGCTGAGCAAGATACTTTCAATATGGAGGGGAAAGGAACAGAAGTTCGGCTACAGAGCAGAGTATGAGACTAACCTGGCCACACGAGACCTTGTCTCAAAATAAATAAGTAAAATAATTAACTACAAAGTTAAGCCTTAGACACTTAGCAGCTGGGAATTGGAACTGGGATGCTGGGTGCTGGAATTGAAAAGGGACAGCGGGTGGAGGAACTCAGAGGAGCTGTGTCCCCGGCGGCGGTACAGCAGTACCACACAGCAGATGATGTACTGACCGGCCTCGTTATCTTCCTAGGGACAACCTTTCTCTGCCGTTAGCGGGAACTGAGGCACAGCCTGCGTCAGCTACCCCAGCCCTACCACCCTCGCTTCTGAGCACCCTAGACCCAGCCCACCTGGGACTCCCTGAGCAACTGGCCTCTGTGACTGTCCCCATCCGCCTGGACACTCTGTCTTACCTCCTACACACTGCCCTGCTGGGGACCTACAAGTTCCAACAGTCCTTACCCCCTTGCTCCTGTTCTGCCCAGCCATACCACATCTCACCAGACACAGCCAGGAGGCCTCCCAGGAAATGGGACCAGGCCTCTGGGGGCTGGGAGGTTCAGCGCAGGCCTTCCAGGGGCAGGGGCAGGGGCCAGGGCCGGGGCCAGTCCCGATGGTGTCCTGGGAGAGCCAAAGAGTTGGAGAGGAGCATGGCAGGAGGCCCTGGGGCTGGCCCCAAGACCCAACCAGTAACACCACTATCCCAGGATGGGAAGAAGGAAGCTGGAGCCCTGGAACCATCCCCACCTCCAGCACCTTTGTCTGAAGACTGGGAGACAGACTACTAGGACCCCAAAGAGCATCTGGTACTTGGCCACCCAAGGGTTCCTTCCAAGAGCTCACAGAGTCTTAATCCTTCAGAGGTACTCCTAAGAAATGTCATCTCTACAGCCTTCCCAGCCCCCAAACCACAGCCCCTGAAGGTCTCCTACAGATCACCTTGTAAAGCCTAAACCTGACTTACATTCCAATTAAGAAAACCCCCCTGCCCAGACTCACAGTATCCCAAGCCCAGCTACTATCCCAGCTTGTTCTCAATGCCCCCAAGGCTGCTCCAACCCCACTTCCAGACCAACTCATCGCCCCAAAGCCCTTCCTCTCTCCATTCCAAGGTCAACCCATCTCACCACTCTCTTCTCCTGGCCTTCAGTCCTAACCCATGTTCATTCCTAATTTGTTTATTTGCTGGTTTTTTTTCAGTACTGGTCTCCTGAATGCCAGCCAAACACCGAACTAAACTGCAACCCTCTTTTATTATTATCTTGAGATAGAATCTCGCCAAGTGTCCAAGCTGGCCTTGAACTTGCGACCCTTCTGTCTCAGGCTTCCAAGTATCTGGGATGAAAGTTCTCGGCCATAAGAACATTCATTCCCAACACATTTTGCTTTGTCTTAAAACCTGTCTCACGGATTCTCCTCTCTCAGTCGGCTGAGTGCTAAGATTGCTGTGGACCACAAGACTGGCCTCATTCTCCTCTTCCTGGTCCTCATTTCATTTCCCTCATCTCATACCTCACACTCACCTTCATGTCACACCAAGCGCCAGCCCCAGCCCCAACATCTGCCAGATTCAAGCTCTGACAAGCCCCTGATCCTACCCCACAAAGAACGCCTTGGCTTGACATGTCCAGACACCTGTATCCACCCCGTCATTGCTGTTCCCTGTCCCCCGGGCTGGGAAGCCCAGGTTGAACAATAAAAGGATGGCTGCTCTGTCTCTTTTGTGTGGGCTATGCTTCCTGCAAAGCTCAGGCTACCCGTAGTGGGGACGAGGAGTAAAGCCTGGGAGATGGGTAGGATCACAGACAAGCTGATGGGGCCCCCTTGTCCCCTGTTTCAGCAAATTCCATTGAGGTCTCTGCTGCCACTGTGTTTCTGCCTGCTGGAAGCTGCTGGGCCTTGCAGCCATTGTGTGGGGAGGCTTAAGGGATTTGGGGGAACCATGAGGCAGAGATGCCAGCAACCTGGCTCAGCTCAGTCTCCACAGAGGGGCTTCAGCAGAAGGAGGGCTCAGAACAGACTCCGCCACTCAGGTAGGCACCAGCGTGAGACCTGCAGTCCCCTACCTGAGAAGTCTAGGCTCCCAGGTCCTTCTCTCCAAAGCTTTGAATTGAGGCTCTTAGACATCTTCCTGTCAGGAATGAAGAACCAGATTCTCAACCCTCTTCCCTCAGATCCAGGAGTGTCCACTCCCCCTCTTCTCCTTTAGGTCCTTATGTCCATTCTCCAGCCTTTTTCTCAAACCCAGGGGGCCAGACCCCAACCCTCCTCTCTCAGGTCCAGGATACCCACTCACAAACCAGCTCTCCCTTCTCCACAGATCGCCATGTACAGCTTCATGGGTGGCGGCCTCTTCTGTGCCTGGGTGGGGACCATCCTGTTGGTGGTAGCCACAGCAACGGACCACTGGATGCAGTACCGGCTGTCGGGGTCCTTCGCACACCAGGGCCTGTGGCGTTACTGCCTGGGCAGCAAGTGCTTCCTACAGACGGAGAGCATTGGTGAGCCTTGAGGCCCTTGCCCAGAGCACAGCCCTATGGCCATCACCCCGGCATTCTAAGGGAAAGCATGGTGGCTCAGAGAGGCAGAGGCACTGGACTAGGATGCTCAGCAGGGGGTGGAACGGACTTGGGATCTATGGATTGTTTTCTAGTTGCAGGGACAGGGTGTAAGGTTTTGCAGTTAGGTTAACGGGGTTGCATTTTCTCACACAAAACGGTGTCAGATGCAGCAAAGAGGCTGGGATTGCCAGAACAATGTTTTATAAATATCTGTGATGAGCTGGGTGTGGTAGTATTTGCCTGTAATCTCAGCATTTGGGATGTGGCAACAGGAGGATTGTGAGTTTTAGGCTATATAGTTTGACCCTGTCTCAAAATACAACAAACAAACAAGTGCTATGAGCCAATAAACAGGAACAGGGACCACAGAGACTGTTGATGGGCTGCATGCCAGGTGAAAGACTTTTTGCTATCTCTCTACTGTGTACCAGGTCATGTACTTATAGATGGATGGATACATGAATAGATGAATAGGTGATTGTCTGATAATAGGTGATATATCATATATATATGATAGAAAGATGATGGTTAAGTGGGTGAGTGAAGAATAGATAGATAGATAGATAGATAGATAGATAGATAGATAGATAGATAGATA